GTGAGGAGGTAACGTTTGAGCCAAGATTAAAATGAAGGCGGGAGGAGTCACATAATTACTCTATCCCAGGTCTCCTATTACTTGTTCTGTGATCATTACGGGAAGTCCCCTATTTTGGTACATTTTACATATCTGAAAATGAAAGAGCCAAAAAATAAAATCAACCGGGATTAAAATTTGAACAGAAGCTGCCTCTCTTCCACCCGGGTAACCTAAAAGCGGGGGATCGGAATGGTATCGAGTCCCAGGCACTGTGGGGCAGGAAATGAGTGTATCTATTGCTGCATAACAAATTACCCCAAAACTCTGTGACTTAAAACAACAACAATCATTTATTATTTCTCAAAGTTTCCTTAGGTCAAGAATTTAGGGCACAGTGGAGATGGCTTGTTCCTACTTCACAATGTCTAGGCCAGTGGTTCTCAACCATAGCCACTTATCCCCTCTCACCTCCCACCTGGGGACATTTGGCAACATCTGGAGGAATTTTTGGTTTTACAACTTGGAAATTGCAACTGGTATCTAGAGGGTTGAGGCCAGGAATGCTCCTTCACATCCTGCGGAGCCCAGGAGACCCCTGCACACACACAAAATGAAGAATTATCTGGTCCAAAATGTCAGTAGTGCAGAGGCTGAGAAATACTAGTCTAGGGCCTCTGCTGGAAAACTTGCAGAGTGTGGGCCAGAATCATCCGAAGTCTTGTTCACTCACGTGTCTGGCAGTTGGTGCAGCGGTTGTCAGGTAGAACACCCACGGTGACCTCTTCATGTGACATAGGCTTCTGCATAACAGGATGGCTAGGTTCCCAGGGCAGAAGTTGAGAGAAAAAAGAGCTTGCACACATGCGTCAGGGCTGGAAGTCATACTGCCTTTTGTGACCGTCACTTTGTATTCTGTTGGTTGAAGAAGTCACAAAGTCCTACCCTGATTTAAGGAAAGGAGAAGTAGATTTCACATCTTTATAGGAAGTGGCGAGGTTCTTGAAGATTACACAGGACTTGAAATACTGCTGTGGCCATTCTTAGAAAATACAGTTTACCACACCAAGCAAATCTCTTCCCATCAAAGGGGTTAAGGAGCCAACTCCCCTGGGTGACCCTCACTGTCCCTTGCCCGTGCCTGTGCCAGAGTAATGGCTTACTGCTGGTGTTCTGTTTGTCCTGTGTGGGAAGAAGGGACAATAGGAAAAGTGTGCGAATAAGGAGTAGGAGTGGGAAGGGGATGTTAGGTCAGTTAAAATGATGGTGCTGTCATGTCCTGGCTCTGCACAAGCAACAGTTTGTGGCTAGGCAGTGAGCTTGGGTTGGCAAGGAAGCATTCTGACTCCACCAAAGGTAGGTCTACCCAGCACCGTGATGGAGATCTATGAATGACAGAATTCAGTCTGCAAAAGCTAGCTCAGGTTTATTATGTGCTAACGTGTGAGTCAAATGAAAACCCAGTGTCTGAAGTCAAGGACTGTCTGTAGAACACCTCCTTGCTGTGATTATTTCAACCACGATCATCTTTCAGACTTAGGTTTAGAGTGTACGGGGGACTGTTAACTAAATATTTCGGCTAAATATCGAGGGTTTTTTTGTTTGTTTT